CCCACCCTGCTGCTGGCTGGCGCCCGGTCTCCTGGCCCCGGCTGCAGGTGCTCTCAGCCTGCGTCCATCCCGGCCCCGGTGGAACTGGGCCCGGAGGCAGCAGCCGGCTGAAGAGATCAGTATTATTTATTTGCTGTTTTAACTTATTGAGTTTCTTTACTTCTCTGTTCAGGGAAGAGGCAGCAGCAGCATCTTCCTGCCGTCTGTCTGTCTGTCTGTGTCTCGGGCAGGGTGGGTCTGGGCCCAGGTGCCCTGAGGACGGAGCCGCTGGGGCGCGGGGGGCAGGCCGGTGGGTGCACTCTGGGCAAGCTACTGTAAACTTTAAAGAATTCCTGCAAGATATTTTTATAAACTTTTTTTCTTGGTTGTTTTTGGAAAAGGGTGTGGGGGAGGGGAGCCGCTGGGCAGGGCTAGGTTTTGTGTTTGGTTCTTGCTCTTGGTTCTTTCTACACACACACATATATATATTTAAAGAACGGCGCGGTCCGCTCCTGGGCAGAGGCAGCTCCAGTCCCGTGGGTGCCGCCGCCCAGGGCCCCTCTGCCAGGCCCGGGATGGGGACCCTCTCGGCTCCGTGTCTGAGAGCAGGGTAGGAGGAAGGCCCAGAGCTGGCCCCACCCCCTCACAGGACGGCGGGGGCACCGCGGGGTTTTTTTATTAAAATGACAAAAAGTGAAAAAAAAACATAGCCAAGGACAGAGCGTCAGCGGCGTCCTCTGCGGTGTTCTCTGTCCTTGGAGAGGTCGACGGGGCGGCCGCCTCGCTCTGCCCGTCCCCAGCTTCTGCTTGTGTTTCTCCCCGTGGGTGCGGCCCTCCGGGCGGCAGGGCCCCGAGGTGTCGAGGGTGCCGGCGCCGGGCCCGGGGCCGGAGGGCAGGTCTGATTGCATGCCTCGCTGTAACGGGTCCACGTCGCTTCTGGTGTCCCCCCCGCGCCTCCCGCCCGCCCTCCAGCCGAGGATAGATTTTAACGCTCCTGTTACACGGGCCCCACCACAGCTGGGGGTTCCACCCATAAGAACAATTAAACGCCTATTACAGCAAAGCCACAGGGACAGGCGGGGCCGCCCAGGCGGGACGCGAAAGCAATATCTCTGTCAGCCTTCCTCTTTTGTACCTGGACACACGCAGACGTCACGGAAACGGACAAGCCCCGCCCGTGTACCCCTGTCAGATAACTGTGAGCAACTTTAGTTCTGGAACAATAA